TGCTGTACCTTACCTTTCCAGGTCAAACTCTGAGTCTTCATAGGCCATTTTTTCTGCAAAATCTGAATAGATGTACAGTCCTGACAAGAACTGTTGCAATGACTAACATCTCCTGCCACTACTCAAAAAATTTTTTTGAAACCTATCTGGCGTGAATCTTAACTTGTGAAAACACAAGTAAGGGTGTGCAAACGTATTACACATGTCCATAACTTCCATGCATAGGTATAAGTGTGTGTTATACCTATACATTACATTTGTGATATTGCTTTTCTGAATTTAACAACGTGCACCTGAATTCTCTTCCTTCTTAAAAAAAAAGTACCAACGTGCAGTACTAAGGGGTGCTTTGGTACATCTGCGCAGAGCTGTGTGTTCTTAGGAAGCAGTAGTTGTTTAGGAAAGACTTGTCCAATGTGAGTAGGTGCATCCCAGGGGCACTGCCATGTGCCGACACACAGTCCGGGTTTTAAGAGTAAAGAAGGGGGATGTTAGATCTCCCTCAATTACAGAAGAAGATGCTGCATAAAATGTGCTATTGCAGCCTGACACATTCTGCAGCTCCAGCCATGAGAGAGGTCAGCAAAAACTGAGCTCTGCATAGGTGACCAGAGGTCCTCCTGCCTTGCCCCCTGGTCCCCTGTGTGGCAAAGGGTAGTTAAATTTAGCATAATACCACAGCTTTTTTTCCATTATCAGACATCTATTCATAAATAAACTCTCCAGTACAGAATGAACTCTCAGTATTCAATGGGGTTTCTTCTTTATAGTCCACAGCTTTTACAGTCTATTGGTAGTAAAATGGATCTGAACCATTTTCTTCATGTAAAATCTATAACAGACATAGATTCCAAGTCTCTCTCTTAAACACCTAAGCATCAATAAATAATTTCACCACTTTAATTTCTGATCTGCAGATATTGCTCTCAACACAGATTAAAATAAAAACAATTTAAGCTGCTTAGTAACGTTAAAATAAATAGCTTTTAGAACAATTTGTTAGAAAAATAAAGGCTTTAGCTCATTATTTATCGTACGATCTTTAATTAATTTTAAGCTAAAATAGGGTGCTTATATTTACTTTCCTTTACACCATAGATACACCATTGAGATACTCTAACCAAGAGTGTTTAAGACACCCGGACTTATTAGAGTAATGCTTTCTAACATACTGTACATAGTGGCAATTCTTAACTCTCAGTGCTTCTGCCAGTGTTAACACCCACAAATTTCTGAAAGTGAAAGCACATTGCATGCTGAACAAGGGCTTTAATGCTGTCACCATAGAGATGACACTTTGCAACCCTTATTTATGTCTCCTTGATTGCACCAAACAAATGCAATCTCTTTATAGACAAATGCTTCTGGTTTCTTCAGGATGATTTCTCTAGATGATGTTTTAAATAATGTCTTTGTAGAGACTTAAATATTATTTTGTAGTAAGGTGGATTTTTTGTGATAAAAAATACAGTAACCCTTCAGACAGAAGAATCAGTTTGAATAAATGCGAAGGAAATTCCTTAGTTAAAATTACAGAGATAGAACAGACTCTCTTTGTCTCTACGGAAAAGAATGAAAGAACCTGTTATTTGTATTTGGCCAATGAACTTGGAAACTCAGGAGAAAAAATATTTTGGGTAAACCAAAACCAAAAATATTTTTCTAGGATTGGAAAACCAAAACTACTTACTTTTCCTTCAAAACAGAAAAAAAAAATATATATTTTGAAACTGTTGTTACAACAACTTCTTTTTTTTCCCCAGTAGAAGGTTTTGCAAAATTGAGCTCAAATTCATAAATATCACTAGCTGCTTTCCAGTAAATAAAATAATTACAAAAATAACCACCCAGCCCTATTTCATAATAGCTGGAGAGTGAAAATCACCACAGTGCAGAAGAGCTATGCACTTCCATCTCCGAAGCTAGCTGTCTTTTGTGCTATGCAATCTTACTGCAAGAAGTCCTTACCTCTACCCCCCTGCAGAGCAATCGCTGCAGGGGGGCAATTTCTCTGATCGGTGAAGTGCTGGGCACGTTTATGGGTCTGCATAAGCGCTTACTAAGAGCAAGGAAAATTATATATGATAGCAAAAGCCATACTTTATTTTAATATGGGAAGGGACTCAACACAAAGCTTGTATCTCTGGACTGAGCGTATTTAAGCCTGGCCAGGTCATCCAGTGTGAGACACCTCTGCCAGTCAGCAACGTGTGTGGAGTTTGGTTTGCTGGGGGTAACTGTTGGCTTCCCCAGCCCCCTGCTCCTGCCAAACCCCACTCTAGACCCAAAGAGCAGCATTCCTTAAGTTACTGATCAAAACAGCTGTTTTGCCTCTTTTTTCTGATGTTACTCTAGCTTATTCTTTCTTAATTGTGCTTGTTTCCATGACAGCCAGGGCCATAAAAACAAAACCCCTCAAAATGCCAATTTGATTAAGCTTTTATCAAATGCTAACAATCTAAATGCTTCTGCAGTGATAAGCCCTCTCCTAACACAGAAAGCTTTGCACTGTGACCCATGGGCCAAATCCAACCCTGAAGACAACTCCACCCGCCCTGCCATCCTTAATGGCCATGGCGGCGGGGAGAGGGACTGAAGGCAGATCGTCCGCTCTTCCCAAAAACCACCTGTATTTGGAGCAAGGAGCTGCTGGTTCAGATAATAGACCCTAAGCATCAACACTGTTACATGCCAATCACTGGGACGTCTGGGCTGCATATGCTTAATAGCCACTGATTTCAGAAGCTGATTATCTAATTGCTCTGTCATGTCAGCTTTGACCTCGCGCTTGGCCCAAATCCCCCGCTCCTTGATGCCGCTTGCCCTTTCTAGAAATAGCCAG